GGTTATGGCACTACACAAAAGGGATACAAACTTTATGATCTTGAAAATAAAGTTTTTTTATTAGCAGGGATGTTGTTTTTACGGAATTCATATTTCCCTTTCAGATTCATGCTAATGCAGATATGAAGGCAATTGTACCAGATGATGCAATTCAAGTTTTAGTTCCAGTTTTGAATGTCAAGGCTGATGATCATGTTTGCATGAATGATCATACTGATAGTACCACTAGACACTCTGTTGATCATATTCTTGAGGAGCCAAATATGAGTCCATCTTCAGTTGTTTAGGAACTAACTATGAGTTCCACTATAGGAAAAAGACAGTCCACTAGAACTTCCAGACCTCCACTTTGGCAAAAGGATTTTGTGACCTCAGTCAAGTCTGGATCAAAGTCTCACTGTTTGTCTCTTGGAGATAGTATTGGCTATAGTTGCTTGTCGCCTTCATATCAATGTTGCATTGCTAATCTTTCAGTTAACATTGAGCCTCATTTTTATCACCAAGTTGTCAAGGACAAGAAATGGGTGGCAGCTATGGAGGAAGAAATACAAGCTTTGGAAGATAATAAGACTTGGGAGATAGTATCTCTGCCTATTGGTAAGAAGGCTATAGGTTGCAAGTGGGTATATAAAATCAAGTACAAAGCACCTGGTGAAGTTGAAAGATTCAAAGCTAGATTAGTGGCAGGAGACTTTTTCTCGAGTTGTTAAAATGGCCACTGTGAGGACAGTGCTAACCCTTGTTGCTACTAAGGGGTGGTATGTTCAACAAATGGATGTCTATAATGCCTTCTTGCAAGGTGACTTAGTGGAGGAAGTGTATATGCAATAGCCTCCAGGTTTCCCTGGGTTCAACCTGTATGTAAGTTGCTTAAGTCATTATATGGAATTAAGCAAGCTTCGAGACAATGGAATGTGAAATTAACTCAGGCCCTATTAGCTGCTGGTTTTCAGCAAATTCATATGGATTACTCTTTGTTGATTAAAAGGTCAAATGAAGGCGTTGTGATTGTCTTGATTTATGTTGATGATTTGTTGGTAACCGGTAGTAACTTGAAGTTGATTAATGAAACTAAAAAATATCTGAAGGACAACTTCAAAATAAAAGACCTTGGGACTTTGAGATTTTTCTAGGGATAGAATTTGCCAGAAACACTAAAGATATTCTTATGCACCAGAGGAAGTATATATTGGAGATAATTTCAGACTTGGGTTTAGGTGGGTCTAAACCTATTGTCACACCTGTTGAAATGAATGTCAAATTAACTACTATAGTTTTTTATGAACATGCAGGTTCTTCATCTGATTCACTACTATCAGATATTAGTGCATATCAAAGACTTGTTGAGAGGTTGATTTACTTAACCATCACTAGACCTGATTTGTCTTATGTTGTTCAAAGCTTAAGTCAGTTTATGAATGCACCAAAGAGGTCTCATATGGATGTTGTTGTTAGAGTTGTAAGATACATCAAACAGAATCCAGGCTCAGGCATTTTTTTGGCTGCACAATCTTATGATTCTTTGCAAGCATATTGTGATGCTGATTGAGGATCCTGTCTTGATACTAGGAAGTCCGTCACGGGGTATATGGTCAAATTTGGGGACTCTTTACTTTTCTTGGAAGTCAAAAAAGCAATCCACTGTCTCCAAGAGTTCTGCAGAAGCAGAATATAGAAGCATGGCTTCCACTGTTGCAGAAGTTACATGGATAATTGGTCTTTTTCGTGCATTGGATATGCCTCTTACCTTACCTGTTGTTATACATAGTGATAGCATTGCTGCCATTCAGATTGCATCCAATCCTGTCTGCCATGAGAGGACCCAACACATTGACATTGATTGTCATTTTGTTAGGGAGAAGATTCAAATAGGTATTGTCTTCATTCAACATTTGGCCACTACGGAGCAACTTGCTGATGTGTTAAATAAAGGTCTTTGTCGTTTGCAACATGAATATCTTGTATCCATGCTAGGCATGAAGAACATCTTCATATCTCCTAGCTTGAAGGGGGGTATTGAAGAGTATGATAAGAGTGTTGCTAAGAGTTAATTAGTAGTTAGTTGAGTATTGCTTAGTTAGTTATTATTGTGCTAAATTTGTTATCCAGTTGTCAGTATCCTATTGGTTCATTAGTTGTTAGTTAGTTACAATGTAATTGTATATATACATGTTAGCACTGTAAGCTGATATATCATTTTTCTCATTCATTCAGTTTGAGATTAATAAAAGCAACAACACATTTCAGTTGTCTTCTTATTCTTCAATACTCCCATATTACTTAGGTTTCATTCAATCAACAATTTGTTAGTATGGATGAATGAGAAAATCAGGATAAAAATAGTGTTTGATAGTATCATACAGGAAACAAGAAATGCTAACTCACATAACTATTCTATCTTTATCTTTAGTGTTTGATTACGTATTAAAGACGTGAGGTGCCTCCCCTTCATCTAATTTTCATCCAAGAAGTGACAAAAGGGAGGAAAGATCCTTCACTTAGTTTTTAGGCATGTAGTGCCGCAGCAGTTTAGAAGAAAATTAACGTGTCAATACTTGAAATTTATTTGTTCATTCTTATCGCGGTTTCTCGAAGATACTCTACTTCACTAGACTAGTTCTTTTTATAGGAATTGAGATCTTAATAGATAAATGAACCAAGAAACATTAAAACAACATAAAGTAGTGCTTACTGTTTCTTTCTGTATGCCGGACACTGTAAGTATAAAAACTATTCATCTGACCGTCACTGAGCATATAGTATCTGTGGAATAAGTATACACATTCAGAAATAAGTATTTAAGCATAAAGTAGGGCTGAACAGACTTGCACTTTCAAAGGAAATGCTGAGAATGATCAATTGTCCTGTTACGGCCATCAGTTAAGAAAATGACGTAACTTACACTGGAGTTTGATACTCATATTTAACTAAGCACTCTACTGATGTTATAACCAGAATGTTTTTGTTCAGGCCTTCAATTAAAAGATCTATGATTCTTCGCTTGCATACAGGACCCACTGCCAGAAAAAGCACAGTATTACCTCAACTAATAGATAAATAGGTAAATCATATACCTCATTGTTCACAGTTCAGTATCTAAGAAAAATGTAAAGCCTTACGACCTCTAGCAGCACGTAATAGCTTCTGGTTGTCTACTCGAATACTCTTTCGCTTACGCTTCCTTTTATTCTTCTCATTAGGCTTACCCTGAAAAGCAGGATCACAAGCTTCCTTTGTTCTTCTCATTAGGCTTACCCTGAAAAGCAGGATCACGAAATTCAACTGCATCATTTACAATCTCAGTCATAATGTTTTAATAGCAAAAAAAGAAGAAAGCATTTAATAATTGAGAATGCATTATATTTTAAAGACTATATCATAACTTTCTTGTTTCAAGAGATCAAAGAAGAAGAAATTGTAACAATCCTAAAAATCGAATAAATAGGTACATAAGCTTATTTAATTATTATTTAAAAATCTACAATTTTAAGGGGCATAATGGTCCTTTCACGTATTAATTAAAATAAATCAGATTTGTATTAATTTAATTAAATCCTATGTTGACTAAGTCTTGAATTAATACTCCTAAACCTATGTTAACATTCTCCTAATCACGTTTATCACCTCTCAACATTCAAAAAAAAACTCTCTTGTTCTCTCTGCCAATTAACGTGAAGAAATAGAAACTTTTAAAAAAAAATTCTTCCCGCTGGAAGAACTCACTAAAAAGTCTAAGGAAGCAAGTTAATCAAAAACGTTAAGGCAAGGGAGATTTCCGTCGAGTTGGTGGTGGAACTTTAGGTGAATTGGGCGTGGTTTTGGTTTGGAGACAAGTTTGGGCAGCAACTTCAAGCTCGAACAACGTCAAAAGGTATGGGTTTCTCTCCAGGAATTCTTTCTCCAAGAGTATTTTCCTTTGAACAATTCTCAAGTCTTGAAAACTAAGGTTGTTCTCCTTTGTATGTCCTTGTCATTATCTCTCAAACGAATTTGTAGGATGGGTATGTTGTGCTGCTAGATTTAGGCATGAATGATGTATTTATATTAATTGTGAACATGTTTTATGTGAGGGAAATTGCGAAAACTATATTCAAAATGTAACAAAAAAATTTGGTGTTGTGTGTGCATTGTGGGCAGTGGCTTTAGCCATTGTTTTGGGATCGAATGTTCATGTGTTTTTGGTGTATTTTATGTGTGTAATGTGTGTGTAATGTGGTGTTCATTATAATGAAAAATGATGGGTTGAAACCACTCTTTTAGCTAAGTAAACTCATGAAAGAGGTGACTAAAAATGAGTGAAGAATTAAAAAAAAATCCAGATTCCATACCCTCCCATAAGGCTAAATTCTGAATTTGTAAAAAAAGGAAATAAATAAGTGAGGTCAATGGGAATTGAAGCCAAGACCTCACATGTTGAGAAGGCTGAAGAAAAAAAAGGGCTAAGGGGAATTGAACCCCTTAGCGGCTGGTTATCGCGAGGGAGAAAAGAAAAAAGGGAAAAGAAAAGAGGCTAGGGGGAATCGAACCTCTGGCCACTGCTTTTCGCGCGAAAGGAAAAGAAAAATGGGGTTGGGGAAAGTCGGACTCGCGACCTTGGGGAAAGAGGAGGAGGAAATTAATTCATCAAATAAATGGGAGGCGTGGGATTCGAACCCACAACCTCCAGGTACGCGCGAGAGAAAAGGGAAAATAAGAAGGAAGAAAATCGCGAGGCGTGGGAATCGAACCCACGACCTTAGGGACTGGAGCAGCGAACGAATGAAATATATATATATATTTTACATTTAGTAATTTTCTATTAAAAAAAAACTTTATTCTGTTCAAATATTGAGAAAACAAACTATTTAAATTAATTAATTTTCAAAACTTAATACAACATCTTAATATTCATATAGCATTCAAATTCAGATATCATATGGAGCCTTACAGGAGCTTTTGGCTTACACAAATTTACATTTCAACAGGCTGGACTGCCTGTTAATCTTAGCTGTAATCATACCTTCCACAAATGAAATCAGTTTTCTTATAAACGATAGAAATACATTTATTCCCATGGAGTACAGATGTGACAGACAATTTTACAAAATTTGTAATCCAAAACAATGATTAAACCAAATTGGACTACAACAAATTCAATACAATTAAATGTATAAACAAACTCATTTTTCAGCAGCTCGCGTTTGCCTTTCCAGTTGTACCTGTCATCTTCCAGATCCGGCTCCGGATCCATGGTTGCTTGCACCACGTGGAGAAGGATAACTTCTCGGTGACTGCTTGTATCGATGAGATGAAGACTCGGATTTGCTTTTGGAAGGTTTTGATTTCTCCTTTATCAATTCAACTTGTTCCAATACTTCCACTACTTCTTTCATAGAAGGCCTCTTCTTAGGTTCTCCTTCTAGGCATTTTATAGTAAGCTGAGCAGTAAGTATTGCTGCCTTTGAACTATATTGGCCTTCCATTCGGGCGTCCATAATGGACTTCAGCTTCCTTTTGTTAGAAAGCATCGGTTTCATCCAGTCCACCAAATTATGCTGTCCGCCAGGTCGTTTTGTGTCAAGTGCTCGTAAGCCTGTTAACAGCTCAAGCAAGACAACACCAAATCCATATACATCACTTTTTACATACAGATGACCTGTTGACATGACAAGAATCCTTGGATTAACACATTATACTGCAAATGTTTCTGGGATCGAGCTTTCTCTTTCAAGGTAGTCTCGCTTACTCTGCACACGGCCAAACCAGATGTACATATATTTATGCAATTTAATGCATATAGCATAATGGTGATCAAAATATTACTGGTGGTTTAATAGATGTGCAAATCTATTTAGGTACTGAATCCGAGCCAATGCGGGAGAGCGTGAAAAATGTTAGACATTGAAAACATAGATACTACAATGAAATTTTATGAAGAAATAATGAAGTTCTAGTTTCTGCAAGTGATATTTGTTGCACACAGAGAGCCACTTCGAATTGAAAGTTGAGACAAATCTATCAAACAAGCGAATGCAATTAGTTTCATAAAGCACTACGGGTTATTTTCTTATTGAAAAACAAGCAACCTCGAGTTCAAACAGCTAAACCTTCAAGTCACTTGCGAGTCTCGCCCATTGAATATCCAGAATATGGAATCACTTTTTGAGATAAAATGGCTGGAATTACACTCATAATTTGATATGTATATCTTAAAATGTAATGGGACAACAGCTCGAAATTATTGCTCACCTGTTGCAATGTATTCAGGAGCAGCATAACCATATGTTCCCATGATACGAGTAGTCACATGTGAGTTCCCAGCTGAAGGCCCAACTTTAGCTAAGCCAAAATCGGATAACTTTGCATGGTAACTCTGCAAACAGAAAAATAGAAGACCTTCAAAATTTGGCCCTTATGCAGATGTACATAAAAGTTGGAAAGGAGGAAAATCTATTGAAGAAAAACATAAAATTTGGCCCTTATGCAGATGTACATAAAAGTTGGAAAGGAGGAAAATCTATTGAAGAAAAACGTACTTGTACTTTCATTTAGTTCCATCGGAAAAGGAAAAACAATATGAGATCAGATAAGGGATTTTGATGATATTAAACAGAACAAAACGTTCAAGTTCAGTATTATTACTCATATCATCACATAAACTCACAGCCTCCTTGAGAAATACTGGGGAACCATATGGAAAGAGAATCCTCCAAAGACCAACATATAATAGATAATTAATTTCAGAAATCCAGCCGATTCTAGGTCTTGCTCATGTTTCAATTATGTGAAAGTAAGTAAAAAAAGATAAAGGAAACGTAAGGGATATGCACTAAGCTATAGTAGAGTCACATACCTGTACTCCAAACAGAGAAAATAAAAACAAACAATGGCAATCAAACTACCACTGACCCAAATTACAAGCTAATAACAAGATGTATCAAGTGCATTGGATATGAAACAAGTATATGTCAAAGTAATTTGCATATGCAGGATATTATTTTATTTTTGATAATCAAGAAATTCCCAAGGAACAGTGCTGCATGGTTCGAAGCTTGATGGGTACCCCTCTACCTTCACTCAAATACTGAGCATACCAAGCTTTTGTCTAGTACAAGGTTTGAACGAATGACGTGCGCCTAACACACACCTTGCTCTATGCTCTTAGCACTAGGCCAAAACCTAGGGGCAATGGCATATGCATGATTTTAAGAGAGATCAGTTAGTAACTATTCGGTTTGTGAGTGGGTTTAGGTCTGGGATTGTGAGTTTTAAGACATCACTTTGTGTACCAAAATATATAATTGCCTCGCATACTTTACAAGTAGGACCGACCTACTGTACATATACAAATTTAGTCAACTTGTTAACAAAGAATTGTGCAAAACGGTGTCGGATTACCCACATTACTAAAGGGTGTCTTCACCACTGGTTCAACCAATGTAGTAGCTGACTCTTGAATCTAGCTTTTGTTTGTCATTATTCTCTTATTGTTATATTGTTTTAGAATACTGGCCTACCAAATGAATCGCAAGTCAAAAGATTGTACCCCATCGAGAAGTATATTGGAGGCCTTGAAATCTCTGTAAATGATCTGCTTTTCTGAAGAATGTAGAAAAGCTAAACCTCGTGCCGCTCCTATGGCAATTTTGAGCCGCAACTCCCAAGAAAGTGGTTCAATAGCTGTGCTCCCTGCAAAGCAACATAACAGAGATCAGTGCATCATATCATTATTAACCTTGTTTCGGTTGAAACTCTAGTACAGAACTTCTTACTTCTGAAAAGATGGTTCTCCAAGCTTCCCTTTGGCATGAATTCATATACAAGTAACAGTTCCTTGTCTTCCCAACAATATCCCAACAATTTAACAAGGTTTGGGTGTGAAAGCCTTCCTAAGAAGTTAACTTCTGCCTGCAGTTAATTGAAAGATTAGGAGTGTTAGCTAAAGCATCTAACTATAGTCTATATATGACAAATAATATAAAGTTCTAAAGTGAACTAGCAATTCAGAAGTTAGTTGATAAACAAAACAAGAATATTGAAAAGTTCAAGTACACGCTCCTGATAGCTAAATAAGAAACCTAAATAACTAAACAGTACGTCTCTCTCTAAAAGAGGAAGGTACACCCATCGCAACTTCAGGAATGGCCGTGACAGCTGACACAATTGATGTTAGTAACAGCTTAATTTAGTCTGAAGTTAGTTATAAATCTTCATAGGAATAATACTTGTCGACCACGTACACTTGCTTAGTATAGATCGCAACAATAATACATATGGAAACCCTTGATCTTTTTTCGAATCATATTCCAAATATGGGTCAATTTTTTATAATAGTTCATTTTTTTCCTGAGTTGGCTGGATGTTGGATGTTCAGAGGCTGTATTCTTCCTCATCCACTCAACAAACTACCTATCTGATATAAAATTTGCTAAGTCTGACACCACAATTTTGGAGAGGCCTTCAATATAAATCGCCAGATAGCTCTTATACTATTCATATCTCTGCACACTACAATTACCTGTAGACATCAATTAAATATTGGGCCACTATACAGTTGCAGAAAATCTGTTCAGCAACAAGTTAACTTGAAGTTGCTAGAAATTGTTTCAACAACAAAAACCAAAGTAGTATTATAACAGGAAGCAGATAAGTACTCATTGCTCAAAGTGTGTGATTAGGAGTAAGAGAGGAAGTTTGACACATTATATGATATTGTTAGCTCAAATCTAACAAGATGAGAAATTATTTCACAAATCTGTGTATAGATAGCTATGCAAACTACAAAAGTTTTGCTCATACTTTTTATCTGTATCGTTGGGATGTAAATGGAGAAATATGAACTCAAATCAAACCAACAGAGGACTTTACATTCAGCAAGTAATTGTGTATAATCAGTACACAATGTGAACTAACAAGATCAATATCTGTGTTTTCAGCTTGAAAACTGTATCAATAACTGCTTCAAGATTGAATCCCCTATAAAGATGTATCAATACATACATTTTTATATCACTTTAGTAGTTTATTCATTCAACTTCATCAAAGAGTTCAGCCATGTAAGAGGCAATCCTAGTTTGTTACAGAGACACTGTCTAATCATTGACTTGCCTGTCTAACTACAGGTTTTACTTGACTAACGAACATAAACTGAAAATGTTTCATACATAATAGTTAACCAAAAACAGGATACCCAAATTATTCAGCATATTTAACAACCAATGCCACATAATTGTCCCTGAATGATCAGCAACAAGGTAGCTTATGCATTTTGCATTGATGGGCATTTTCCTAGTTTGTGTAATGAAAGATCTTTCTCCAACAAAAAAGGTCAAACTATTGGCTTCTTCCACCAAGAAGGTCCAACATTCTGCAAAGAATAAATGCCTATAAATTGTATCAAAAGTTCTCATACCTGCCACTCTTCAAATCCCTGCATGCTCTCTGAGTTCAACTTCTTGATGGCAACAACCATCCCAGTTCCAACTTTAGTTGGAGTAAGCGTCTTCTCATCGACCCATCCTTTAAATACAGTCCCAAAGCCTCCCACCCCCAAAACTGTATCAGACTTGAAATTTCTTGTGGCAGCCTTCAGATCAGAAAAACTGTAAGTCTTCAAATTTGGAGTAGGCAATATTTCTCCATTCGAACATGAATCCTCGCTTGCAGCTGCTGAAAAACGGCTACGCCCAGTACTACTACTAGTCGAAAATCCAACACCACCACTGTAGTTCTTTGATGTATCTGCACAAAAAATACATCCCAAAAATCTAGTCTTTTTACTCCCAATTAAGCTAAAAGCTATGAAATCTGAAAGGGGCTTTACCAAAAACTACAAACAACATAAATTACTCCTCTAAATTATGGTCAACTAGTCCTAACAAAAGTTCTGATTGCCAAGAAAATGAAACAGAAGCCATTTTGGGTCCTTTAGTATAGACTCAACAAAGAGAGAAGAGTAGAATATTTGACATACAGAAAATCAAGAAAGAGTCCAAAATTTTCCCCATAAATAGCAAAAGCAAAACCCCATTTGGGAATTCGAACAAAATCATTCCTAAAAAGAACAAACCTTTTAACCTACAAAGAGAAAACGGTAGTATGTTTGTGTGTACCTGGGGTAGAAGGTCTAGTTGATGAGTTGCTTTTGTTACTAGGATTAGGATCAAGATTCTCTGATCCAAAACAATTCCCCATCAATTTTTACACTTTCTTCTTATTCTCAGCTCAATACTAAATTGCTACCATCATTCAAAAGGAGAAATCTTGATTTTTAGAGCAAAGTTGAAACTTTTGACAAAAAGCGGTGGAATTTAGGGAAAAGCTACTAATATTGTTGTTGATTCCTTCATATTATATTATAAGATATAATGCGCCAAAATTTTCAACTGTAAATTGCTGGGATTTTACAGTGTGGTTTCCTAATTTAGCTGATAGTTGAAGTTTATGTGATGGTGTCAATGACAATCTCAAATGCAAGTCAACGACCGAGTCACCATTAAATTAATTATGCCCAATTTTGCCGTTTACATTAACCATTTTTTCTTCTTACTAATTCTTTTACATGACAAAGATAATTTAGTCATATTGTTTAAAATACATATGCATAAATTGAACTTTGTTTATATTACTAATAAATTGTCTAAAAGAGTAAATCATACTTTTTTGTCCCTTTTTATTTGTAAACTTTTTAATTGATATATCTATTAAAAAAATAATTAATTTATATTTACTTTTACTTGTACACTTTTAAATTGACATACCTATTAAGAAAATAATTAATTCATGTCAAATTTAAGAGAATCGAATAGTTTCTCTTTTTTTCTATCAATTGCACTAATCTCATGAATTCATCATCAATCAATGAGTAATACAATATTATATACTCCTTGGCAAATATATACCTACAGCATGCACACTAATTGTAAATGGGAAAAGGGTTTGATATACCCCTCAACTTTGTCATATAGAGCTGATATATCCCTTGTTATGAAAGTGGCGCATATATACCCCTATTTGTAAACAAATAGCTCACATATACCCTTTTCCTCTAATGGAAATGAAAAAAATAATAATTTTAATCTAAATTTTTATTATTTTTTCTAAAAAATATAATCCCATATGAGTAAATTTAATCCTCGTCAAACATATTTTTTTTGACTTTTTTTTATTTCAATGACTAATTTATAATTATTATTTTGATAATCAAATTTATTTATGTTTCACTAATATTCTTGTAAAACTTATTGTAGATGACCAAATTTTTTCTTCGAATACGAAATTAAATTACAATACACACACAAAAAATAGTTTAATTGTTTATTCTTTAAACTAAGGAATGAAAGAAAAAAAACAAAATAAGAATAAAAAATTCAAATAATGATAATAAAAGAAGTCAAAAAATAATTTATGTATGAAAAAAATCAAAATATACTTTGAAATTTGATAGAAGAATCATATATGTCCCTAAATAATTTTTTTTAAAAAAATAAAAGTAATAAATATAAATTTAAAACTAATTTTTTAACTTCTGTTAAATAAAGGGTATATATGAGTCATTTTGTAACTGCAGGGGTATATGTGAGCCGTTTGTATAACGGTAAGGGCATATATGGGCCACTTTTATAACGAGGGGTATATCAGCTCCAAATGACAAAGTTGAGGGGTATATCAGACCCTTTTCCCATTGTAAACAGAATTTTAATATTAATAGCTATAAAAATAAAGATTGCAAGGGTCGGATATAAAGTAGATAATATTCACACTATTTTTTAAAAGAATATTGAAAAAAAAAACATAAGGGGTGATTTTGTACTTTTGTGCATGATAAAATCTTGAGAAAAAAAAAATCGTTTGACAAAATTTCTTGTCCATCAGACATAGGTTTAATGGTAAATGTGCATAGTTGACTTTGTTTATAAGATGGAAATTTGGGATCAACTTACGGAATTTAAAAGATAAATGCAATTTCTCTTTCTATATATTATGTATGACTCGTATTGATTAAGTTACTTTACTAGTAAATTAATTATGATTAAAGTTTATTATTATTTTTTTAGATTAATTTAGCAATTCACGTTTTAAATTTAAAAAGTGAAAAATATTATTTTATAAATTAGAAGAATGACGAAGGTAAAGTTATAAAATTATATCCTTCAAACAATTATTGTGTATACATGATAATTTGTGACTAATTCAAATGATATGTAAGAATGAATATTATCAAATCTTATCCATCTATCATGATTTGTGATCTATTGAGCAAGAGCAACACATTAAATTTTGCGTAAAATTAAAATTTTAGCTTGTGATCAATTAAACATGCACTATTTTTGATTTATTGAAATATCCTAAAATTATGCTATCTAAGCGAAGACTAATTTATGCCCACAATTTATGTTTGATAGACACAAAACTTTTGTCTAGCAAATTTTCTAAAGCAAAGGTTGTTTTATTAGAAATTTTATCATACGATATCAAAGATCATTCTATATTGAGGTCATTGTTATAGTTTACTTTATTTTAAATGAAATTTTTGGCTGAGCACTTCCATTTTACAAGTTTTTTATTAGTCTATTCACATTCACTTTTTCATAATAAAATTGTGTACTCTATTTAAATATGATATCGATCTCCAATAATCCAATAATCAAAATGTTGTCCAATTTGATAATATCATTATTAATCGAATATTTTTCTTTCCAAAAAATACCCATTTCTTAAAATATATATATATGTATATTACCTTAGTACCCTAATAATGTATCGAGCAATCATTATTCTAATCAAGTGCACTTCTTAATCTAATTAATATATTACTAATCCTTATTATTGGGAATACTTAATTTAGGTAATTGATCAGACTTTGTCAATGGAATTTTAACATAGTACTGCTGTTGCACTAAGCATTATTCCAATTTAGCTGTCATTCCATTCCTAGCCCAAAATATCTTTTGAGTAAAGATGTTGAATTTTAATTAATATTTTAAGATTGTATTATATTATCATATTAATATAGAAAAATTATAACTTATAATCTTTAAAGTAAATGAAGGAATGTACATATATTTCATTGGTTTTTTAACCACTTAATTTAAGGAAATAGATCCAAACTAACTCGTATATAATGTATATTAACCCAAATTGCTCAATTTTGTTGTGTATTACACTTTTGGAATATTCATACTCTTGTTATATTTTTACGTATCGTTTAGTATTTTTTTCTTGTTATTAAAAGGGGTTAAAAAAAATGAAGTTAAATTTTACGTATCTAAATTTATCAAGACAAAAAGAAATAAATATATCCTTCAAATTTTTTATTATAATTTTAAATTACCAATAGATTGAAGTCAAAAGATTAAATGAATAAAGATAAAGGTATTAACAGAGAAAAACGAACACCCACATTTTGGATATTTATGTGTGTACAATTTGGGGTGGAGCTAAAATAAAACTTATGATTTTCCAGTAGAAATTAGTATTTTTAGTCCAAAATCTTATATTTATCTTTAAAAATATAATGAATAATTATTAATTTAAAATTGACAACTTAAATGAATTAAAATTTTACACTCGTAAACATTAAATTCTGGTTTGTCACTCTACGTATAATTAACTCAGTTGACAAAAACAGTAACTCAATTGACAAAAACAAAAGATGTTTGAATGATCACAATTTGGTAAGATATTATTTTGTCCTGACTTTGAAAAGTATTAATGAGAACACAGCAAAATATTTTCAACGCTCAAACACAAAAAATGACCCAATCAAAAAAAGGATAAATTATCAAACTAGTCACAGTTCTAAACTTAATTAGTAAAAATATCTACAATTTAAAGTAATTATTGAAAAATGTCAAAATGTCAATATTTTAGAAAATAATTTGTATTCAAATTTATTTCTCCATTACCCATTTACACTTCTGTTTTAGTACCATTAAATTTATTTTTCATTTTTCACTTTTCAATTTTTTTCGCTTTCATCAACTTTCAGTTTTCACCATCCTCATCTTCGCTTTTCCTTTTTTTTTTCCATCAAAATTCACCATTATTTTCTTCATTGTTGAAGAACTAATTATTCAAGTTCGTAACAATTTGTTCAGATCTATCAATTAATCAAGAAATCTCTTAATTGATAAAGGTATTTTTGAATTCATTATTTCTTTTGCCAGATTTTGTTTTCAAAATCACACATTATATTGAATTTTTGGATTGTATGCATTGAGGATTTTCTGTCATTTTTTTTTTTAGTTTTTATGTGAGTTTGTTAACTTACTCATCAAATATTTATGTATTTTAGATTTTTAGGATTTAAAATATTTTTTGTCGATCTTTTTTTTAATTTGTTTTTATATTTCAAATTTAGTAGAATACACATTAGCATTTAGGTATTTAGTTGTTTCGCAAAAGTATTTGAAAGTATTTTGAATGTTCTGTAGTTTGTACTCAAATTTATGTTTACAAAGTGATAATCTAAATACAAACATGTATATTGATTATTTAAAATTGTGAATGAATACGAAATCAAAAATAAACTAGTTGGTATAAATATATAATGAGCAAAATAAAATGCAAAACTATTTGACTGATGCAATTAGGATGAATACACATATAATGAATACATAAATAAATTGTATTTTGTTATAGTTGAGAATGAATACGAAATCAAAATATAAATACAGAACTTTATGATATACATTAGGACGAACACGAAATCAAATCTAAATACAAATTTTATGGTATACATTAGGACGAATACGAAATCAAATCTAAATACAAACTATTTGATATACAAAGTAATATTGAAAATAAGCAACATAAAATACATATGTAAGATGGATGAATACCTATATCATGAATACATGAGTATTGTATTCTGAATACTGAAAAATTGGTTAAAATGAGATACATAAAGTTCATAATCTTAACATGATAGCCAAATAACTTCATAAAATTTCATACATTTTAAAAGATAAATTATAATTTCGTAACGTTAAAATATGCCTTAGTAGAATAAACTGCTTCAAAAAAATTAAGAAAATTAAATTTTGAATTTTTAGAACAATGGTGATAAACGTGTTTTTTAGAATGGTGAAAGAAGAAGAAAGAAATGAAAGTTGATGTGTTTTGATAAATTGTCAATTAGTTCTTTGTTTTGAATTTTTGTAACTGATAACACTTTTAAGCAATTATTTCTTTTTAATATTTTTCTCTCCCCCTAATTTCTCCTTTCTATTTTTAACAAAAAAAAATTTTGATATTTTTTCTTAATATTAAAAGTATTGATTCATTATATTATTAGTTGATTTTTTTGTTGCATGTGTATCACCTTAATTTAGTGAGCTTTAGGTTTTTGTTGCTACTTAACTCTCAGCTAATCTCTACATATTTTGTCTCTTAGTTTATTTCCAATAATTATTCACACACCTTAATATTCGAAAAACTCGATTCAACTTAATTTATGTGG